CAAACTGAGGTCTCATTCCCCCAAATGGGAAGAAGTTTCCCTGAAGACATGGCTGTGGAGGGCCTCTGTCCTCCATTCCCTCCCTGCTCCACGTGGCCACTTGCAAACCATGCTCTGGCATCCTTCTCAGAAGCTCCTAACCTCATGCCGTCAGCCTTACCCAGCATGTGCCCCTCTTATAACTATCCTACTGACCTGCGGTGGCCTTCCCTCCTTGTTAGCAGGTATTAGCTTCTGTCACATAATAGGCCCTTCTCTCAGGCCCTTCCGTCTTCTCTCTTCTAAGGACCTCGGATCTTTTGCTTCCCAGTCTGGCACTCCCACAGTCACAGCCCAGAAACCTTACCGCCACCTACCTGTACTGCCTCTGCTCTGCGATCGTGCCCCTATTTCCCTATTCAATTCTTCTGGTACCTCAATGTCAACAAGTCTTTGCTCACCACGGGGCCCCAGCAGCCATTGACTCCCTCACCTTTTCACTGTCAGCCCCTCCTATCATGTCATACTCCTTCATTCGGCCTACGTTCCAACCGTCTACCCGTCTGCTCATTTATGGCTTCCTTCCTTTGGCAAATGTTTACCCATTTATTAAATGGCTCTGTAGAGCAGAGACAGACCGGAGGGGGAAGGTAGCAGAAAGAACCAGTCTAGGGGCTGAAGACAGATCGGTGAAATACAAATATCCCTGTTCCGAGCTTGCATTCAAAAAGATAAATCAGCAGGATAAATGAGGCGGCAAGACCAAAAATGTACACTCAGGGGGGTGGAGCCCGATGGGGAAAATGAGACAGAGATACAGAATGTGTCAGGAGGGGTGGACGTTGGACGGAGAAGCCAGGAAATGCGCATAGCATTTGGGTGAAGAATACTTGGAGGAGGGGGGGAGGGAGGAGGGAGTCCCCAAGGGTATCAGGCCCAGGGAACACCCACTGCAGAGGCCCCGGGTAAGGAGCAGGCCTAGTATTTAAGGCATATCGTGGAGGCCACAGTGTCTGCAGCGGACAGAGCAGGAGGGAGGGCAGTAGTGAGGGAGGATGTTTCGGTTTACGGGTGTGGGGGGGAAGTGATGGCAGAGTCCATTTTTATATCGCCACCTTGAGTTCACGCTCAGCCCCCATCCCTCTTTCTCATTCTCCTACTCACTTGACTCTGCCACCGCGTTGGTCAAACACAGCTTGTCTACACCCCTTGTGGTCGTGCCCCTGAGCTCCACCGCACTGATGCGTTCCTCCATAGTGACTGGCTCACCTTAAGGTCCTGGTAACTCACCTCAAGTGAGTTCTTAATGCCGCCAACACCTCCCTCCCCTCCGCACATACCCCCCACGTGCACACATACCACGTGTCTCACCACCCAAACACACACACACACACACACACACACACACACACTTGATTTCCTTAGCTCGTTTACTCTGCCCTACTCAGAGGAAATTCAATACCTTTTGTCGCCTTAAACCAAACCCTTCCTTTTGGGGGGTAGAAAGAGAATCCTGAATCCACGTGCACGGGAGCAAGAGCAAGTAGCTGTGGTGGTAGGCGCCTGTGGAATTTTCTTCTGATTTCTGCACTCTTGTCCATCAGCTAAAAAGCAAGGTTGTCATCTGAGAACAAATACGGGAGAGGAGAAGAGGGGTGGAGGTGACCAACCCCAGAAGCTACGTTGCTATCACTTTTCATTTTTTTTTTATGTTTATTTATTTTTGAGAGAGAGAGACAGGGGGACACAGCATGAGCAGGGGAGGGGCAGAGAGGGAGGGAGACACAGAATCCGAAGCAGGCTCCAGGCTCCGAGCTGTCAGCACAGAGCCCGATGCGGGGCTTGAACCCATGAACCGTGAGATCACGACCTGAGCTGAAGTTGAACACGACCGACAGAGCCACCCAGGCTCCCCGCCATTGCTATAACTTTTAAATTCCTGTCAAAACATGCACAGGCAGTGTGTGTTTTCCTCTCTCTTCTACAGGAAAAGAGCACGATTGCTTACCGGAAAGCACCCAGCCATCAGTAACAGAATGTTCTTTAGCCCCCAGGGGTGGTAGTGGAGGAAATAAACACCTTCCACTAATTCCAGATGAGTCAACTCTCCAACAGGAGAGGCTGTGATGAGGGAGCAGGTGTGGCGGTTGGTGTTTGTGGCACAGGGACTTTTGATTCGGTCCTGCCTGGGGTGCTACTGTGCCCCCTCACTTCAAACTGCATGGATTTAAGCAAGTCATATCCCTCTCTGAGATACAAGATTTCCATCTAAGAAATGGGAATAATCTCACATAGTTTTTGGTAAGGACTAAGCAAGATAACCTCTGTAAATATGCTACCAAAATGCGGGACACTGGGGGAACATTCGAGAACGGCGCTCAGCGGGGAACACATTCCTCAAAGCACAGGCTCAGAATGGCAATGAAAACAAAAATGTCAGCTGAGATTTCTACAACTCCGACTCTGTTTTAAGGCTCCATTTGCCTGATGGCCGCAAATATAAGTTTCATTAGCTCAGTGTAAACTCATCCATTCTGAGCTCAGTGGATTTCCCCTCCTTCTTCTCCCTGGAGAGATAATTCTATGCTACGGACAGCATTAGGGAAGACTCCAGCCCATTTGCACTGGTGAATTTCCCTGCTGACTTGTGATGCCCAGCCCCCTTTCATACACCTATTGGCCATTTGTACGTCCTCTTTGGAGAAATACCTATTCATTTTTCTCAATACACTAAGCTTTCCCATAACTTAAGAGCCCTGGGTGAGCATTCCTTCTTTGAGGAAGACTCCCTCCAATCTTTGCAAAGCTGCACATCCAGCTAGGTTTCTACACAGGGCTGTTCGTTCAGCCCTCGGCCAGTATATCCCTTCTTCAGAAAGGCTTCTCTGGACGCTTCAATCTAAGGTAACCACTCACAGACTTTGCATCTCATCCCAGCATTTAATTCTCTGGACATATTTTCTTGCTCACATGTTTAGTCTGTCCCACTTAATCATAATGTGTGCCATAGCAAAGTGCGGGGACATGTTCCGTTTTCATTATTCAATCCCATCACAAAAAAACGTGTCTCTCTCTAGCTAAGTATTTAATTAACATGTCCTTAAGTATATGAATGAATGAAATTCCCCTCCAGATAAGCAATGTGAAATTAACCAACCACAACTAATGTGCAAGTGGAACATTTGATTGACTATAATTAATAAAATAATTTGTAGTGTTGTTGTCACCTTGACAAGGAGGAGTATTTCCTTGTTTTAATGTGCATTTCTTTTATTAACAGCTTAAGTTTCCCTGTGCTTTGTTATTTCTATGTACTTTTTTGTGAATTACCTATTTTTCCCTCTGATAATTGTTTTACCATGATGCCAATCATTTTTAAGTTGTAAGATATTTATATGCTAAGCCTATAAATTATTTCCAATATTTGTAAATATTTCTTTACTAAGTTATCATACTTGTCTTTTTTTTAATATGAAATTTATTGTCTGGGGCGCCTGGGTGGCTCAGTCGGTTGGGCATCCGGCTTCGGCTCAGGTCACGATCTTGCGGTCCGTGAGTTCGAGCCCCGCGTCGGGCTCTGTGCTGACGGCTCAGAGCCTGGAACCTGTTTCAGATTCTGTGTCTCCCTCTCTCTCTGACCCTCCCCCATTCATGCTCTGTCTCTCTCTGTCTCCAAAATGAATAAACGTTACAAAAAAAAAAAAAGAAATTTATTGTCAAAATGGTTTCCATACATACTTGTCTTAATTCTATAATGACGTTTGTTTGACACAGAATTTTGTGATTTTTATGGATTTAAAAAATTCCACCTTTTCTTTATAGTGTTGGTTTATTCATTTAACAGGTACACAATGATTTTCAAAAAGTCATATATTTCCAACATTTTTCTTCCCATAAGAAATCTGATGGACCTCTTCATTCATTCAAATCTTTCTTAGTTGACCCTCCAAAATGTTGTTTCATCTGACTCATGTAGGACATCCACATTTAATTTTTATTCAATTATTTATTCAATATGCAGTAAAAAAAAAGCTTTAGGGGCACCTGGGTGACTCAACCAATGGAACATTTGACTTGATTTCGGCTCAGGTCATGGTCCCGGGGTCATGGGGTCGAGCCCCCCGTCTGGCTCCACAATGAGTATGGAGCCTCCTTAAAATTCTCTCTCTGCTCCTCCCCTGTTCTCTCTCTCCCAAATAAATAAATAAATAAATAAATAAATAAGTACAGCTTTCCATAAAACGACTCGGGAATAGTAAAAAAAAAAAAAAAGCTAAAGAGGTCTCACTATTAGGACATTTTGTAAAACCTTAGAATGTGAGGCATCTTCAAGGCAAAGTAAGTTTGTACAATTATAAAACATTACCATGAAAGAAGACTAACCTGTATATAATAGTACCACACAAGCTTTTGCACAGATTCCCTGAAATGCCCTTCTGGAAATGACACCCACAGTGAGTGACCAGGGCAATGCATTTCCCCCAATTCAAAGCTGATCTCCTTCTAGGCCTAATGGGCGTACCTCTGTGCCTACGGTGTTACTGTGGATTAAGAAGCATAACACCGGCTAAGCAAGTTGCATGGGATCTAGCAAGCAGTGAGAACTTAACAAATGTTGGTTCTTAAATTAAAGAAGCTTCTCTAGTGCATAATTAAGGTACAGGAGATTGCCGAGTCATACTTCATTAAAAAATAAAAATTAAAGAAAAAAGACACAGAAGAATTAGGATGGTGGAAAATAATTTTTCTTTAGGAGTGATTTTTTTCTCCTCTACAACTTTACCGCTTAAAATGACTACATTTAAAAAATTATTTATTTATTTATTTTAGAGAAAGAGAGCAAGATCGAATGGGGGAGGGACACACAGAGAGGGAGAGAGAGGGAATCCCAAGCAGGCTCCACACTGTCCCTGCAGAGCCCAACGTAGGGCTCGAACCCACAAATTGTGAGATCGTGACCTGAGCTAAAATCAAGAGTTGGATGCTTAACTGACTGAGCCACTCAGGCATCACTAAAAGCATGCCTCGTTTTTTTTGTTTGTTTGTTTGTTTGTTTTAATTTTTGATGTTTATTTAGTTTTAAGAAAGAGAGAGAGAGAGACAGAGTGCAAACAGAGGAGAGCCAGAGAGAGAGGGAGACACAGAATTGGAAGCAGGCCACAGGCTGTGAGCTGTCAGCACAAAGCCGGACATGGGGCTCGAACTCATAAACTGTGAGACCATGACCCGAGTCGAAGTTGGACGCTTAACCAACTGAGCCACTCAGGCCCCCCTGCCTTGTTTTTTAAAAATGTTTATTTATTTATTTCGAAAGAGAGAGAAAGAGCATGCATGTGGGCAGGGGAGGGGCAGAGAGAGAGAGAGAGAGAGAATCTCCACTATCAGTGCAGAGTGCAACACCGGGCTCGATCTCCCGAACCACGAGATCATGACCTGAGCCAAACTAAGACTTGGATGCTTAACCGAGTGAGCCACCCAGGCGCCCCAAGCACGCCTTGTTTTAAAATGATGTTTTATTGTCATGTTAGTGCCCTGGGGCTGCTATAACAAATTACTACAAACTTGGAGGCTTAAAACAACAGAATTAAAATCAGCATCACTGGGCCAAGTTAAGGTGTAGCTGAGCCATGCTCCCCAGGAGGCTATAGGGCAGAATTTGTCCCTTGCCTCTTCCAGCCTCGGGTGGCTGCTGGCTTTCCTTAGTTTGTAGCCGTATTACTCTATTCATCACAGCTGGCATCTTCCAACCTCCCGCTGGCCCATCTTCACATTTCCTTCTCTGTGTACGGGCGATCAGTCTCCCCCTGGCCTCTACGTATAAGGATACTTGTGATTGCATTAAGGGCCCACAGGGCGATCCAGGATAATCTCCCGATGTCAAGATCCTTAATCACATCTGTAGTCTTTGCTCTACCGAGTTAATATTCCGGGGATTCGGACTATTTGGGGGGCCATTATCCAACCTATCGCAATCCAGTTCTGCTAAAGTTGATTTAAAACAATACAGCAATACTGTGATGCATTTAAATCGAAATTGGAAAAGCTCTTGCCAAAAAGAGGAGTTTATTTCACAGGTTCCATGTTTTCGTGATTTCAAATAAACCCTTCTAAAGCTTGAAGAAACGGCTGCACAACTTTGTAGTTCTGGTTATTTCTCGAGGGCAAGGGATGGATCGGGAGTCTTGAAGGTGCCAGGGCAGAGGGGGGGCCGTGCTCAAAGAAAAATCAAAACCCCATACCACAGGGGTCAGCGTT